GTCAATGAATAATAATACTTATCTTAAATGAATGACTCTTTTATATAAAAATAACTTAAAGAATATTCTTAAGCTTAGGCAGTGATTGAATGAAGCGCGAGTAGACTTGTCTTACAGCCTATTTGTACCCAACTGTCCGGCGAGAAAACAGGAACGGCAGCAGAATATGGCGTAATGAGGCTTATTGCAATACTTGGCCTTCACTATAATCTCACAATTGGCAAAATATTGACTGTCCTTGCAATCTCCAGAGAGCGGTTCTAAACATTATAATTAAAAATTATTTTTCATATTCAATTCATATAAATATAAATTGGGACTCACTGTTACTGTTGACATTAATGGGAATGGTAGCGACCCCGTCCCTGTAACTATTGGCTGCACGGCACCTGTAGTTTCCCGAATCGTTAGCCGATAAGTTATATACAATTAGCGTATTGTTTGGTAGTATCCGATAGTGTCTGTTGTCTGACACTAATGGGATGTCACTGTTGAAGAACCAGGTGATTGTCGNGTAACATTCAACCAATTGATCCAAACTTAAGACCTATATTACCTGATCATAGATATGGTATGACTAATGATTTACTAATTTACTAATATTAACTGTTTTATTAATTTGACTAATATACTTTTTGTACATTCAGTGGTGAATCTGAATTGGTTGTCAATTTTGGTAAATAAATAAAATTTAAAAATAAATATAAAAAGTATTACGTAATTTTACTAGATAAATATTATTACAAAAAGTATATTAGTCAAATTAATAAAACAGTTAATATTAGTAAATTAGTAAATCATTAGTCATACTATATCTATGATCGGGTAATATAGGTCTTAAGTTTGGATCAATTGGTTGAATGTTACCATTGAGTGTATAATTAGTGTGTTCTCTAATACTGGTTGAGTTAAACGAATCAGAATCGTATGGTCTAATGTCAGGTTCGGATGAAGAAAAGTCAAGTAATAATATGACATCCTTTATTAATGCTTCTCTACAATGTTTTTCAAGCGACATAATCTTTTGCTGCATTTTGTGAAATGTCCATGTATTATCTAATGTTTCATTACAATTTTCGTGTCCTAAATGATAATTTTCGAAAAACACATCTCCGTTTTTATACCAGTTAATTCTTGTTTCATTTATCATATCGTAAATTGCATTTTTATTTTCACTTAAAATAGAATAGTCCACGGCTGCGAATATGACCTTGTCTCCATAATCTTGTTTATTTTTCAGCATATTCATGAATATGTTCATTGTTTTATCAGCTACTCTGGTATTATCGTAGTTAAAAAATAGCATATAAATATCATTATTATTATATTCCCATAGAAATTGTTGAAACACAGTGTATTTGCTCAACATGGTGACATTCATTTTGAGTATATATTTTATAAAGGTTATTTCTTGTTTTAATTTAT